ATCTCATACAGCTGTAAATGTTGCTGGGCCTAATGCATATTTTGTACCGTGGGGGAATTTGCCTAATAAAATAATCCAATTAGACATTTGTTTTTGTCTCTCTGGGGCATCTTAGACTACTTGCCTACCTCAGTGCTGTGTGTTGTAATTAGTTACCGTTTGTGCACGGCTTTGATGTCGGAGCACCACTATTATCCTTGGCTCTGGCTCTCTAAAAAAGCAATAGCTGGGGATTCAGGTTGCTGGAGGGATACTGCAAGACCTGGGATGCGTCTGCCTTCGTGGTGCTCCTGGGGTTGTAGTAAGGATTTGGAGTGGAGGCAGTGTGTGCAGTTCCTTCTGCTGTGTTTCACCATCTCTTTTTTTTTTCCCCCTTTCTTTTCAGTCTTCCCTTGGTTTGGCCTGGACATCGGTGGGACCTTGGTCAAACTCGTTTATTTTGAACCAAAGGACATCACTGCCGAAGAGGAGGACGAAGAAGTGGAAAACCTCAAAAACATCCGCAAGTACCTGACGTCAAACGTGGCCTACGGATCCACAGGCATTCGGGATGTGCACCTTGAACTAAAGGACCTTTCCCTGTGTGGACGTAAAGGCAATCTGCACTTTATACGCTTTCCTACCCATGACATGCCTGCTTTTATTCAAATGGGAAGCGAAAAGCACTTCTCGAGCCTCCATACTACCTTATGTGCCACGGGAGGTGGAGCGTACAAATTTGAGCAGGACTTTCTCACAGTAGGCATTTTTGGCTTGTATACAATTCGGATTTGGCAGCGAAACTTGAAGCTTAAAGCTAGAAATGCCCCCAGTCCTTCTCTGCAGCCTCTCAGCTTTTCTAAGCCTTAGCTTAGACTGGAATTAAACTCAGCTCAGGAAGCAGGGTGTGGAGTCACGTTCACATCTCTAAATTAGGCTGTGTTCTTTCCTGAAAGCTCATGCCACATTCCTGTAACTCTAAAATTGCTCCCTGCCCTCCACGCCGTGTGCTCTTACAGGGCTTTGTATCGCCGCTCTGCGATTACACTCAGCTCAGTGTTCTTTCTTCCTCATTGCTGTGTGTTCCCATGCTTAATTTTCACTCTTTGTTTGCTCCCATAGCTTCGTTTCTAGCACACGTTGTGCTGCTGATGGAGGTTCAGGCAAATAAGGTGGTGAATTACCTGGAAGGGGTTAGCAGTTGGAGTTTGACGTCGTCACGTGGCTCCATTATCATCAGTTAGATTCTTGTTTATGGGTGAAGTATGTGTCTGCTAAATATTTAAACAAGGCTTGAAAAATGTACCAAATAAAGAGGCTTTTTAAGGCACTCTCCAGGCAGTGACATAAGGGAAGAACAATCTTGATTTCTCCCGCTTTGTTTTTTCTTTTCTTTCTCTTTTTGTCAAACATTTACGCCCTATTTAAATCTCCTTTGCTTTTCTTGCCAGTCCCTCCGAGTCCCAGTGGGATTGGATTCTCCTGGCCTCCACCAATGGCTCAGGTTGTTTATTGCCCTCCACTTCAGGGCCAGGACAGTCAGCAGTCCACAGGGGGTGAGACGCAGCCTTGCTGTCATCTGCACTTCTCTCTCTGTCCCCGTAGGGAGGAATGGAGATAGCTGGAATTTAGCTGGCGGTGAGCATCGACTCTCCCATCCCTAACTACTTCTTCAATATTCTTTTTTTCCCCTGCCAGATGGGTGACCTTCAGCTTTGTAAGCTGGATGAGCTCGACTGCCTTATTAAAGGAGTCATGTACATCGATTCCGTTGGGTTCAACGGCCGTTCAGAGTGCTACTATTTCCAACACCCGACCGACACCGAACGCTGTCAGAAGCTCCCGTTCACTTTGAGGAATCCATACCCTCTCCTTCTGGTGAACATTGGCTCAGGGGTCAGCATTTTGGCTGTGTATTCGAAGGAAAACTACAGACGGGTGACGGGCACCAGGTGAGTGCTGCAATGGGCTGTGTCCACTTTGGAGTTTGTTTCAGCCTGCAGTGTGTTTCTGCACTGTGCTTTTGGGAGCAGGCTGCATCAGAGGTGCTGTGTTGAGTGTCACACTCCAGCTTTTACTGCAGTCCCTCATCTGTGCCAACAAAGATTCCTCCTGGAAAAGGGAATCTGAATTTCATGTTTCAGCCTCCTTACTGCAACAGGCATCTTTAAAAGCTGGTTTCTCAGCTGCAGGATTTAACTGGGTGTATCAGAGACCCCAAATATGAGCAATGTTTACCTCCAGTCAGTTCAGCAGATGTGCTGGGACAATCTTAGTTCCCCACACAGCTTCTGGACATTAAGGAACGTTTGGATTCTGTGTCGAGGGACATGGTTTAGTGAGAACTATTGGTGAGAGGTGGGTGGTTGGACTGGATGATCTCATAGGTCTTTTCCAACCTTGATGTTTCTGTGATTCTGTGGACAGCTGCATTGAAAATGCGACTGTTGTTGCCCAGTGAAGCCAAAGAGCTTTGTGGCTGTGAGCTTCCCTGAAGTTCATGAAAATGAGCATTGATGAAACCCCTTGGCACAGGTCTCAATCCTATTAAACATCGTTAATGGTGGTTTACACAGTTAGGTGACGGCACGTCGAGTTTCCCAAAGCCCAGTGAACAACTTTCCTCTTGCTTTCCATTGCAGTCTCGGAGGGGGAACCTTCTTTGGGCTCTGCTGCCTTCTCACGGGTTGCTCCACCTTTGAGGAGGCCATGGAGATGGCATCCCGTGGGGACAGCACCAAAGTGGACAAGTTGGTGAGGGACATTTATGGAGGAGACTACGAGCGGTTCGGGCTGCCAGGCTGGGCCGTAGCATCCAGGTAATGGTGGTCACTGCTGGGTTGTTCTCAGCACAGGTTGTGCAGCAATGAAAAACCAAACGTCTTAATGTCTCAAGACTACACTGATTCTTTCACACTATCATTCGAGTTAACCCAGTAATTCCCTTTTTTTTTTCTTTTTTTTTTCTTCTGGAATTTTGATGCAAGTAAACCTTTAACCCTAAAACTTTCTTGACAGTTTTGGAAACATGATGAGCAAGGAGAAGAGGGAATCTGTGAGCAAAGAGGACCTGGCCAAGGCCACCTTGATAACCATCACCAACAACATCGGCTCCATCGCGCGGATGTGTGCGCTCAATGAGGTATGGGGGAAAGGCATTCTGTTGTTTCCCCTCTGAAGCCTCACTTCTGCACTGCTGTTCTGCTGTCTCTTTTCCTGCACGCCTTCCTGTGGCTGGGTGTTCATTCTTGTTTCTCTGGATCTTCACTGCGTTGCAATCTGCCCCTTTTTTGGATTCATCGGTGTTGAATCCAAATTTTGTTCTTGCTTGTCTGTGTACTTTGAGGCAGATCACTGTGAGCTGAGTTACTCCCCATGAATTTGGGCTGGCTCTTGGGAGGTTCTCTTTGGCAGCACAATACGGCCCCTTTTCCACCACAATGCTGTGTGTTTTCTTGTGTATTTAGCACTGAAGTTGGGGTGGAGGGGGAGAGGTGGGAGACCTTTCCTACGTTCTTTTCACCACTTGCTTTTGTTCTCCTGGTCAAGCAGCACCACTTTCCTGGACATGACTGTATCTCTGTGCTTTCAGCTTCTTTACAGTGCTGCCTTGTTGCGTTCATGTCAAGCAGCATTGTACAGGGCTATGAAAGAACAGAGGCATGCTCTTGAGTTTGAGCCTCTTCCTATGGTCCGAGCTGACAGAGGAAGCACACTCCACTCTTCCTGTTGTCTGTACTTACTGCTATTTACTTGTAAAACTTGTAAGCACCATACCAACAGAACATCTCAGTGGAAAACACACTTGAACGGCTACAGATGGCCTTTTAGAGAGCACTACAAAGTGCCATTGCTTTTCTTCTGACCCTCAGGTGGTGTTTCCATTGTCGCAAGCAGAACCATGGAATCCAGCCTTAACGTTCCCATCTTTTTCTTCACAGAACATCGACCGGGTCGTCTTCATCGGCAATTTCCTCCGGATCAACACCATCTCCATGAAGCTTCTGGCCTATGCTTTGGACTACTGGTCGAAGGGACAGCTGAAAGCACTGTTCTTGGAACATGAGGTGAGATTCCCTTTCACATTTCTCTTGTCAAACCTATCATTTCCTGTTATTCCTTCCCCACGTCGCTCGCGCGCCCGCCTTTGGGCTGTTAACGGATCTGTTTGCTCCTCAGGGTTACTTTGGTGCAGTTGGTGCTCTGCTGGAGCTCCTGGACTCAGCCTGATCCAACCAGGTTCCATACGTTCGAGCAATGAAGTCACAGTGCCCACATGAAGCTTTAAAGCACTTTCATCAATGCCTCTGAGTGCTGTATGTCTGTTTAGTTCCCACATTACAGGTGTCAGCTGCAAGGTTCTGTGTTCTGCAGATGAAAGATGTCACATTCTCATTCTCCTACAAATCTGTGGAGGGGTGAGAACTGCAGCACATAACACCATAAGGACCATTCCTGTTCCCTCCAGACCCCACAGTGCTCTGCTGGACACAGTCATGCTATCAGCAGGGCTGCATAGAACGATACCAAAGAGTTTACTGTTTCTTTCAGTCAAGTATTTGGGATTTTTTCTGTAATGCTTCATTCAGTGCTTATATACTAGAGTAGTTTGGGGGGTGAAGCTGCACTTCCCATATATATAGCAGTTGTTCTTTTGTTTCCTCCTTGCACACAGCCTGAATTAGGCTGTGCACTTTGCAACCTCTGCTCTCAGGACACGGATTTGGAAGTAGCACGCTGCTTCCTCAATAAATGATCAGAACAACAGTGATGCTGATAATGGATAATATTTACAACCAGAAAAGCTGAGTGCGTCCCATTTGTAAACTCCTTGCTTGGTGCTCTCCTTTGCTGTGCCTCTCCTTTGGGTCTGAAATGATACATTCAGATGTGCCCTGTTTTAGATGAGACCCTGAAGCTGTGCTGGGAGATGCAGGCCGTGCAGACACAGCACAGAGCGAGGTGTTGGGGATGGGATCCTTTCCCCGTGGCCACGGTCCCCCCTTCAAACACACCCTGCATCCAAAACCTGCCTTTATTTACATTTCAAGTCAAATCACATGCAAACCTCCTCCTTTGCTTTTTTTTTTTTCCTTAAGAATAGTGTGATTAGCAAAACAAGACGCGTTAGAATCTTGAAACAGCAATTAAATATACAAAAATAGAGCTTACAAAAAAAAAAAAAGCCCCCCAAAACAACAACAACAAAAAAAACCTCCCTCCCCCCTCCAAAAAAAAAGAAAAACCAAAAAAAAAAAAACAGCAAACGTTTTTAAAAAAATATTCTGCTGCAGAATTTGTAGTGTACAAAGACGTCTATGAGGCTCCACGCTCCATAAACAGGCTTGGGAGTCGCAGGGTCTGTACAGGAGGGACCCCCCCAGAGCCCACCCAGCCCCGCTGTGGGGTAAAACTGGGACCCCCCCCCTCCCCCATAAAGAGCTGCAGGGTTGGGGGGGGGTGGGGAACGATGCCTGGAAAAGGGCTGAATTTACCCCATGGGGTGAAAGGAGAGGAGGGGGTGGTGCAGCCCCCAGCAGCTTTGGCACTCGGGGAGGGACTTTGGGTGATGCTGAGCCATCCGTGCTTGGAAACCTAAAGAGCCAGGCTCAACGTGAACCCAAAGGGCAGGGTTTGCCCCCACCTTGCTGTGATGCCAGGTGGTTGCACCAATGGGAGATGCTCTGCCCCATGGCGGGGATGAAGGGAGCCCTGAGGTAGCCCTTGGCACTGAGCAGGGGAACGGGGGGGGAAGCCACCCCAAAAAGCACCCGGCTCCAAACCCTGGGCGGCCCTTTGGGAGGAGAAACTGCAATCCTCAGTAGGGATGGCAATCGGGGGTGAAAAACTCCCCCCTTGGATGGCACTGAGCCCACAGCACCGCGCGGGACGGACACCGGCTCTCCTGGGTGATGCTCAGAGGGGGATGAGTGCATTCAGGCACAGCTCCATCCCAAGGCATCACGTTGAGGCTTCCCGACAGTCACTGAGCTCCTTGTTCCCACTGAGGAAAACCCCATTCCGAGGCCAAGCACCGTTTTGGGGCGCAGGGATGCTACTTCCCTAAAGTGCTCTCAGCTCTCCATCCTCCCGTCCCCAGCTTGGCTCCTTTGCTGGTGCCGTAGTGCTTTGGTCGTCTCCAGGTACCCCGGGGCAGTCCGTGCTGATGCACAGCTATACGATGTTCTCTGCTCCAGGTAGGGGACCCTGAGGAGGGCCTGGGTCCTGCTTGCTGTGCAGCTGTGCCAGCTGCAGCACCGGCATGTTGCAGAGCGGGCAGACCTTGCGCACCTCCAGCCATTTGATGAGGCACCTGGGGGGGGAAAAAAAGCACAGATAGGTCATAAGGATCCCAAAGCAGCACCCTTCTGGCACAGCCACGTGCCAGGTCTGGTCCATTTTCATCCCCCTCTTTGCAGTGTTGTTAACGGTACGTTCTTAATTCATCATTTAAGTACCTTTATATGTAAAATATATACATAAATACATCATGTAGAACAACTACATGACATAAATCAAGAGCATAATCACTTATAATAACATATAACACAAGGGTCGGATTGGATGATCTCCAGAAGTCCACTCTGACCCCTTGTGGTTCTGTGATAATGTATATATTTGCTCTATATGTGGTGGTTTTTGAGGTCTTTCCCAGCCTAATGATCCTACGACTGAATGAATCATAAATCACAGAATGGCCTGGGTTGAAAAGGACCACAATGATCATCTGCTTTCAACCCCCCTGCTACGTGCAGGGTCTCCAAACACCACAGCAGGCTGCTCAGAGCCACATCCAACCTTATAAAATGCAAATAAATACACAGAAACCAGCTCTTTTTTTTTGCTCCAAATGCTTTTGTTGCTCCAAATGCTCCAAGGTATCCGATAATGGGATTTTCCACCTGGAGCACCGCACTCAGTGCTGGGCTGCCCGATTCCAGGCAGACAGGGAACTGCTGGGAGAACCCAGCAGAAGGCCACAGAAGCAACAGGGACCAAAGCATCTTCCATAGGAGGAAACGCTGAGAGCCCTGGGGCTGTTCACCAGGGGGACAGAACGCTGAGAGGGAATCTTAGCAATAGGGGATCTCCTGAGGTCCCTTCTGAGCCTCCCGCTCTGTGATGCTGTAAATAACAGCTCCAGGCCTGCTGCACTCACTTTCTGTGGAAGGCATGTTTGCACGGGCAGATCCCCAGCTCGTCCTTGGGCTTGAATTCCTCCAAGCAAACGGCACAGATCTGAAAGCAAGTCACACAAAGTCAGCGGCAAAACCGAGGCAACGCTCCCCAACAATCTCTGTCTCATCCCATTGCTTTTGGTCATGGAAATTAAAAACAAAAAGGGCCCTTTGCCTCGTGGGTTGGCTTGGCAGTGTGACAGAGCGTGGCTTAGCACAGCTCTGTGCAGCCCCGGGTTGTGAGCCTGGGGGTGGTAAGTCCTGCACCTCCAGAGGTCATTAAACAGCGATAAAAGGAAGTTTAAAGCTCAATTTAGGCTTAATCTGCCTTCTAATTGCTGGGGAAACTTCCCAGAGCCCAAAGTTTCACTTGCAGAGCAAAATCCCATCAATTTGCTCGAGGGTTGTGCAGTGAGGACCACGCAAGGTCTGGATGCCATGAACCCCCCCCTGGAAGCAAACCCACACATGGACTCACCTCGTGTAGGTTCAACTCCTTCACCTTCTCCTTCAGTATTACCTGCAAGGCAGAGGTGGGGTCAGGATGCTGCTTTTAACACGCGTTTCCAGCATCTCAGATCTCCTTAAGTCACATCTTGCAACCCATTTCTATTACATTTTCCCTTTCCACTGCATTGATTGTAATGAAAATCCTCTGCTTTCAGTCCCAGCCTCTCCCCAGCTGTGTGCAGTGCAAAGCTCCGTACACAGATCTGGGTATAGGGTGAGGTCTTCTACAGCACAACAGCAGACAGAGCATAGAAGTAGCCTAAAATCTAAAAGCATACCAAACCATGACTTCTGCTGGATATTATCAGCAATGATTGTCATTGCAAATACACAACCACGAGCACTCTGGTGCTGTAACAGCTGCAGTGATCTCATTTAACACCCCAGAGGAGCCAGAAACCACCTACAGATGGTTCTCAACCCAGTGCAAGGACAGGGTGAGCACAAAAATGACCCAAAAAGCACAAAAGAAACAAATAAAATGATCAGAGGACACAACCCAGGAGGTCTCCTCTTGCACTCAGACCTCCTGGGCTGGCACAGGGGGAACGAGCTGTGGTGTACAGCTTCACTTCCACCCCTTCCCCAGGGGGTTCCCCACATTGTAACACCATACACAACACCATATCAGCCCAATCCCATGTCAAGTAGGTTTCCTGCTTGAATGATGGAGGCAGAAAAATGACACAAACCCTGAAGAAAACAGGATGCATCAGTGGGAACCTGTGTTTATTTTCACCTCTGTGTGGGTGGCTGCACACAAGAGCAGGAGATGTGCTGCCCAGGAGAGCTGTGGCTGCTCTGACCTCCAGCTGTGATGCTGTTACTGTTCACAAAAGGTTTGGAAAGCCCTGAGGTCTCCAGGGGGCTCCAAGGTGGGAAATGTCCCCACCATATGGGGATCTTGCAGCCACGCTCCTGGGACTTGACTCTTACTTTAGACTGTTTTAAAATACCTCTATTTCTATTATTTTGTTTTCCTGCTGAGCCCTTCTGTTGCCTCTGGGCTCAACCCTGGGTTGCATCCAACTGATGGCACCAAGACCTGCCCCTGAAGGGCCAACACCTGAAGGCAACCACAGGCAGCTCAGGATGCTCATGGGGTGCCCAGCTGGCAGGAAAATCCCAAATCAGAGCATCAGCAGCATGATGTGTGGGGACTGAGGAGCACAGGGATGTGGTGCAGTGGTGGCACTCAGCAGGTGGGCTGGACACGGTGACCCTGAAGATCTTTCAAACCAGGTGAGTTGGTTCCATTAACAGCTTCTCTTCCAAGGAAGAGAACCTCCCAATGGGATTGAAAGCACAACCTAAAGGTGTTAACACCAAGGAACTCACAGCCTTTAGGTGGATTTGGTTGTCAGCCAATCTAGAAGGGAGAGGGGAGAAGGAAGAAGGAAGAAGAAGGAGGAAGAAGAAGTGAGAAAAAAGAACAGAATAGAAGGGAAGAGAAGAAGAAGGGAGGAGAAGGGAGGAGAAGGGAGGAGACTGTTCATCACCTCACCTGTTTGTAGGCGTAAAGCTCTTTGTGTGCTTGATGTCTGAGCCTGGAATTAAAACAGACAGAAAAGTGAAAATGAGGATCATCACAACATCCCAACACCCCCTTCCATTTCCCTCCCTCTCCTATGGAATCATTTCTTTCTTTCCTGAAATGCTGCATTCATTTCAAGAGTCTGGGCTGGGATTTTGTACCTAGCTGGAAACATGACATCTCCATCCAGCTGTCAGCACAGGACCTCCCACAATTTCCCTTTTCTGAACTCCCCGATTTTCCATGCAAACATCAAGATGTAAAAATGATGTAAAAATACATATCTCCATCCTATTAGCATGCAAAGATCCCTCTAGAAAAATGCTGGAATTAAAAAGACAACAACAACACCAAAAATATGCACTTTAATGCAGCAGAGGTTGGTTAGGGATGCAGGAAGGCAGCTCTGGAGCCCTGGTTTGGAGCTCAAGACGCCTTCTCTGAAGATGCTTCTCAGAAATTGGGTGACCTAAAAGCCAAGGGTAAATCCATTGGAATAGGAAGGATGGGCCTGGCAGCAATGTGCAGAGAGTGGAGCAAGTGGGATGGAACCAGCTCTGTTCACAAGGAGCCCTGAGGCTGGGAAACTGCTTATGGAAGACAGATAGGAAAAGGGAAATTTGCTGCTGGAGACAGCCGACAAGGGGGAAAAGCAGCTCAGTGCTGCCAGATGGGTGCGGGTGCTATGTGGGAAGGTTTGCATGGGATAACTTTGCTTAAAAACCTCTTGAGAACAGCATGAGCACATGAGCAGTATGAACAGTCAAGCGTGCAAGGTGCGTGGAGCAGGGAGAGCTCTGGGGGAGGCATCCACAGGCTGAGCACGTGGCTTTGGCTGGGCTCAGAGAGAGGATCCTGGGCCAGATGGGTCCATCCCACCCCACACAACTGCTGTAATGTGAGCCCCCAGGCCGTGGTGAGCATCCACCCTGTGCCAGGAGCTGTGACCCTGCAGGAATTCCAGCCACTGCTGCTAGCCACACATCTGCCACAAATACATGGCAACAGATCAAAACACAGAGGAAATCATAGAATCGTAGAATCATTCGAGTTGGAAGAGATCTTTAAAGCCATCTGGTCCCACTCCCTGCAGCGAACAGGGACACCCACAGCTCCATCAGGAGCTCAGAGCCCCATCCTGCCTGACCTGAATGTCCCTAGGGATGGGGCACCCACTGCCTCTCTGAGCAACCTGTGCCAGCTCCTCACCACCCTCACTGCGAAAAAGGGTTTCCTTAAACCCTGTCCAAATCTCCCTTCTGTTAGTTTGAAACCGTTTCCCCAGCTCCTATCACAACAGACCCTGCTACAGGGTCTATCCCCTTCACAGAATAATGAAGGCTGGAAAAGAGCTCTAAGATCCCCAAGCCCAACCCATCTCCACCAGGTCCCCAAGTGCAACATCTCCACAGTTCTGGAATACCTCCAGGGATGGTGACTCCACCACCTCCCTGGGCAGCTGTGCCAATACCTCAGCCTGGTCTGCTGGTTGGTGACCCTGCACATAGCGGGGGGTTGAAACTGGATGATCACTATGGTGCTTTTCAACCCAGGCCATTCTGTGATTCTGAGACTGTATGACTCACCACTCTTCAGGAGACAAAAGAAGACTTGTGTTCCAGATCCCCTCACAGCTCTGCTGCCCTTCTCTGGACACAATCCTGAACCTCAATGTCCTTCTCTTAGAGAGGGACCCAACACTGAACGCAGCATTTGAGATGCAGCCTCCCCAGCACTTGGTCTTGCTGAAGCCCATCCAGTTGACCTCAGCCCACAGATCCCAGCCTATACCTTCTTGCAGCCTTATCCTCCGAAAGCAGCAGCAGAGAGCAGACACAGACAGCTCCAGCAAAGTTTCATTTCCTTTTCCCTATTTCTCGTCTGAAGGCGGCTGCCAGGGGGGAGGGACGCACGCTGTGCAGCAGAGCTCTGCAGCAATCCTTCTCTCCTTTCTTTTGGCTGGAGCTCACACCCAGCCCCGCTCTGAGCCAGCCCCATTAAATCCCTACCATCTCAAATCCCACGAGATCTGCTTGCTGTTAGCCCAGCTCTTGCAGATGTGCGAGCTGCAGACCAGGAGGGAGAGGATGCACAGTGTGCACTCAGTGCTCTGCTTCTCTATGAGGATGTGGTTGACCCACTATTAAATTAACACCTCACCTTTTGCAGCCTCCAGCTGTGACCCCATGTTAAAGCCATGTAGAAGGGGTCAGGAATGCGTGCAGTAATCCAGGAGGCTTTAGCAGCTGGTTCAGGAGGGGGAGAAATCCAACTTGAGTTCAATATCTTGCTTCGTATATCCAATCCTCCTATGGAATCCTGCAGAGCTCTGGGTATTTGCTTGCTATGCAGCCAGGCTCCAGCAGCGCCATTCACTGCCACAGCAGTGGAGCACTGAGGTTGACCCATCCGAAAGCAATCACTTGGGGTGCTCTGTGCATAGTCCTTACCCACTGCCCAGCTACAAGCTGACCCTCAAGCTTAAAAAACCTCACCCAAGCTGAGATGTGGGAGCTCAGCTCTGTGGCAAATCCAAAGGAGGTGGTGAGTGCTGCAGGGGAACAACAGCACAGCCCAAATCCAGGGCACGGGGCTGCTTTGGGCATGCAGGACTTCCAACCCCAGAGCTGCTGGTGCTGCTGGTTTGATTCACTGACTCGCAACAGTTAAGGGCTATAAAGGGATCATGAGGTGATCTAATCCAGCCTCCTGTCTATCACGGGTCATTAGACAGCACTTCGTTACTTCTGGGAGTGGGAGCCAAGACGCCTCTTCCAGGAGGGCACTCTGTCTTCCTTTAAAGACAGCAAGAGACAGAACTCACCACTTCCCTCGCTGGCTTCTCCCTGTGGTTACTCACCCTCTCTCTTACAACACGCCTCCAACTTCTAAATTTAAAGATTTTCTGGCCTGATCTCCCAGACATTACTACTTGTTGTTTCTTCTTCGGGGCAGAACACACCCAGCAAGACCCGGTGCCCAGGAAAACACTCTGAAAGTCCAGACACCTCTCAGTTCTGCAGGGAAGCCATATAGATTCCGCTCTACTTGGGGAAAATACAGCCTTCAGCCTTCTGAGCACCGTTTGCACATCACCAAATTTGCCTCGATTCCCAATCTTCCCCCACCTGCCTTCCATTTTCCCTCCAGCAAAAGGGATTTCGCTTCTCAATTAGTGGCTTAATTCCCCCCCCCCCCAGCAGCCTGTAAAATAATTAAAGCACACCCCAAATAGGAACAACCATCTCCCTTCCTTTTCCCCATCGCTCAGGTCAACAAATCACCCCTGCATCATTAATCTCCAAACGGCTTTGTTCAATGAGCAATTTGTGTACAGTAACGAACGGAGCAGGTATTAAACATTTCTTAAGTGCACAGTACACAAGTTACTCATTAAAGAGGGAGACGTGTTGAAACACTAAGCAGAAAGCAGGAGCCACAAAGCACGGCTTTTGAGTCTTTTGGAGAAGGCCACCTGGCTAACCACGCTTCATGCCCATGTAAGAGTTCCCAAAACTACTCATCTGCTGTTTTTACTGCCTGTGGAACTGTTCACTCTGAGATGCAATGGATGGTGCTGCTCTGAATCTGAACGCCGTGACGCAGAGTGCTGAGCACGTTCTTTGCTTAGAATGGGAAATACAAACTATCTCATGGGTCACATCAAGCTGTCACCACACCAGAGGATGAAGCTCCCTGCAGAAAGGTGACGCCGTCGCTTCCTGACCAACGCATCGATTTCTTCCAGCGTGGGTGAGTACTTCCATAGAATTACAGAATCACGGTTGGAAAAGAGCTCCAAGAGCCCCAAGTCCAACCCCAACCCATCCCTACTGTGCCCACTGTCTCTCAGAGTGCCACATCTCCATGGTTCCTGAACACATCCACGGATGGGGGACTCCACTGTCCTCCTGGACAGCCCTCTCCACTGTCTGACCACTCCTTTGGAGAGAAAATATTTCTTAACATCCAACCTGAACCTCTCCTGCTGCAACTTCAAGTCCATCACCTCTCATCCTACTTCTGCACCCAGATTGAAGCCTACCACACACGTTTCCTGAGGGTTGCAAGAGCAGCCTAAGTCCACAGGCTGGAACTCAGTGATCTTTAAGGTCCCTTCCAACCTAAGCCATTTTGATTCGATGCTGGATAACAGGAACAATTTGTCCACTGAACACTTTGTGGGATGTCCTCACCTGAAGGGGGTCACCTCCTGCAGAAAGCCAGGGCAGCTCTCTTACCTGATCAAGTAGCAACAGAACAGTAAACTGAGGATGAAGACGAAGATGGCCGTGCCAAAAACCACGATATATATGTTGAGAGGCAGGTTCTGGAACCCGATGTTCGGCATCCTGAAACTGTAATGCTGGAAATCTGAGCTCATGGGTAGGCTGTGAGGAAAGGGAGAAAACAGAAGGACGTGAGGCTCTGTCTGCAGGGTCGGCAGCATGGGAGGCCCTGAGGAAAGTTCTCCTTCCCCTCCCCTCTGGCGGCTTCCAAGGCCAATCCCTCACTTTGCAGAAATTCCCCTGCAGAGTATGCACACCAACGAGCGACCTCCAGCATCAGCACAAGCCCCATCCCTTCTCCTGTGGGATGATGGATTGGAGGCATGTTCAGCACACCCCCAATGTCCCTTTTTCAATCAAATTCATTCTGGAACCAGGTGGAAGAGCAGCCCAATGACTTTGCATTGCTGTCAAATCTTCAGCGCGGAGCCGTTCAGCCTTGAATATCCACAAACATCTCTGGCCAGACACAAAGTTCCCCACCCGCAGCTTCAAGGAGGAAGTCACAAACCCTATCTGGTTTTCCTTTCATCAGTTACTGCCCACGGGAGGTGGGCAGTGCCAGCTTCACAACACATGGGGAAACCACCTGCAGCCTGTTTTGCAGATTAAATGCCCTGAGGAACAACAAAATTCCCCCAAAGCAGGGAGTTTTCAGCTGTGTGTGGATGTGGGTTTTGGGGAGGAAGTGAGGATGGGGCAAAAGCATGGGATCTGGGTAAGGATATCCTGAGGAATGAAAGCTGAAAAGCACCAGATCTGAGCTGCAGGTTGCTGGAGTCATCACAGAATCAAAGAATGGCCTGGGTTGAAAAGGCCATAAGGATCATCCAGTTTCAATCCCCCTGGCACAGGTAGGATCACCAACCACCAGACCAGGCTGCCCAGAGCCACATCCAGCCTGGATGGATGGCCTGGATTCATCATAGAATCATATGAGTTGGAAGGGACCTTTAAAGGTCATGTAGTCCAACTCACCTGCAGTGAACCAGGGACTCCCAGAAGGGATGAATTCAGCATTCAGAAGAAAGGGGAACTCCTGGAAATTACCCATACCATCGAGTGCTGCTGGCACAGTTCCACAGCAAAGCAGCACCTATATATACAGAGTTTAACCCAAACTCAACTCAACCAAAGCCCTACAAAAGTCCCTACAACAGGAGCTCCATCCTACTACTAGCACAACTCAACTCAACCAAGTTGATCAACATGGATGGATCCTGTCCCCATCACCAGAATGCACAGGAGACTCTGCAGCTGTGGCACTTGCCTCGAAGAACTGAGTTGTTTCTGTAGGGTGAGAGAGTTAAGGGAATTAAAAGGGGATGCAAACACCACAGTGCACCCTGGTACCAAGTACTGGGACACTGCACTGAGCCCTATCCACAAAACAATTCAATACTGAACCAAGCACTCAAACCAAGCAGAGATCTCCAAGAAGAAACAGTGCAACCAACCAGCACAGGACTGATTCTTTCTGTTTTAAACTCCTCGTAACATTCCTCCTAATCAGACTGAGGGCTACAGGCAGTGCTGATGGTGAACTGAGAACAAAGTAGTGGTGTCTGGGCATTTTGGGCAATCTCATCTAGACCCTGAACTTCCATGGCTTTGCTCAAACAGAATAGAAACAGAACCATAGAATCACAGAATCACTGAGGTTGGGAAAGGGTTCCAAGATCCCCAAGTCCAACCCACCCACACCATGACCACTGGCCACATCTCTGAGTGCCACATCTCCACGGTTCTGGAGCACCTCCAGGGATGATGACTCCACCACTTCTTTGGGCAGCTATGCAGATGCATCACCACTGATATCCAACCTGAACCTTCCCTGGCACAACATGAGGCCAACACCTCTCATCACTGTTACGTGGGAGAAGAGGCCGACCCACACTTGACCTCAACCTCCTTTCAGGGTCTCGTACAGAGCCATAAGGTCTCCCTGGAGCCTTCTCTCCTCCAATCTGACCCATCCCAGTTCCTTGGCTGTCTTTCCTAAGACTTGAGATCCAGTCCCTTCACAGCTCTGTTACCCTTCTCTGGACAAGCTCCAGGGCCTCAAATCACCACAGCTGGCCCAAAGCCATAGGAAAACAAGCCGAGCCCTTCAAAGATCTCTGCAATGAGAGCTCCATCTTTCTAGTGTTATCAGTATTTTGCCCCAAAAGGATGCCCCCAAAGTAGCCATCATCTCCTACAGGGGCTCATTCTCCTTTGGACAGTCCCTAGGCACACAAGGAACATGCAACGGGTTCATCCTCTACATTGGTCCTGCGACCAAATGAGAAGCTAAAAAATCCTGTGCAGGGATCCAGGAAACTGTTAACTTTAAAAGGACTGAAATCGGATGATTTTGAGGAGCCAAGCTTTTGGTTTTCTTTTTGTTTTGTTTTGTTTTGTTTTTGTTGGGAGCGTGGTAGGGGAGGACCGTATTTTAATCTGCTCCAGCTTTACAAGAGCGCAGCCAAAAGAAATAAAAAGTGCCGTAGGGAAGGACGGCTGCTTTCTGAGGCAAAACCAAAGCCTTCATGCTGTGTTCTCCCAACCGAGGGTCCCCAACACCCACGTTGGGGCAAAACAGGACCTGGAAAATGCCCCTGGGCTGGGTCAGCTCCACTTCGGTGGGCAGGAAGATGCTGGATGCTCCTGGCTTGAAATATTGACCTGCACATGGATAAACCTGGGGAAAAGAGTGAAACAACCCCAAACCAGGGATGCCCTATCAGAGACCCGAGGGTGGGCTGGACAAAATAATATCACAGAATCATAGAAACATTATGGTTGGAAAAGACCACCATCAACCCATCAAAACCATAAAACCACACAGTGCCGATACAACGGCCAGGATGAAACCAAAGGAGGGAAAATCAGATTTTCCCATGAAGACGTTTGTTGAAAGACGTGATGGCTTACAAAATGAAAGGGATTTCAGCGTCCTTGTGATAGGGATGAGACTTCCCCGTGGGGAGGGATCCTGTCTGGAGTAGGAAATTCCCAAATTCCCAGCAGGAGATGCTGGTTTGTACATGTTAATTAAAACCCCAGTGATGGTTAATGCCAGGTGAACAAGCAGGGAAGTCAGGAAACGAAGCTCCAGCAGCATTCACTTTGCTCTGATTACAAGCCAGGCAGTTAAAGGCAAACCCAAATAAGCCACGCAGCCAAATTAATCCCTATTATAATAACAGCAAGCACTTAATGCGCTGAATAAGCACAGCCAGCCTCTTACATGCAGCTTTCATCAGAAGATCTCAAAGCGATGAGCAAGGCTGGCAATTATCTTCCTGCACTGAGGAACTGCAGCAAGGGGGGACCAGACCTGCACTGAACTGCTGGGAGATGTATTTTTTTTTAAATTATTATTAATTCTTACCACTGCATAAATGGGCCATGCAAGCATTGAGCATTATATTAAGTTTAGCCCAGGTGGAGGGCTGGTTTGGGGGTCAACAGCACATCTGGTTGGCTGGGTAACAGGCACACATCTCCTGTTCCAAAGGCATTGGCACAAATCCACAAAGTGTTTCACACAAGTTGACCCAAAAGCTCGGCTGTTAACTTGGGTGGAAGTTAAAATGAATGCACAACATTCCCGAGGTTGGTGTCAGCTGCGGAGCAGGGCGTTCTTCCATGCGATAAATCCACAACATAAATGTTATTCATTGTGTGTGCTTAGTGGGATGACTTCCAGACTTTCCCCTTTCTGGGCACTTTGACACCAGCAGGGAGACAGCGACGGGCAGCCAGCAGGCTGGAGGGAAGCTCTCATCCACATCATAGCCCTGGTTGGAACAAGATGATCTTTGATGTCCCTTAGAATCATTAAGCCTGGAGAAGACCACCTAGTCCAACCAGCAAGCCATCGCCACCACCACAACAGAGTCATTAAGGTTGGAAAAGAGCACTGAGATCCCCAAGCCCAGCCCATCCCACCGTGCCCACTGACCACATCCCTCAGCTCCACATCCCCGTGCTCTTAAACACCTCCAGGGACGGTGACTTCACCACTCTCTGGGCAGCTGTGCCAGTGCTTGACCACTCTTTCGGAGAAGCTTTCCAACCTGAAACAGCAGCAATGCTCGTCCAGGAGGATGCTGCCCAACGTGGGACTGCAGCTGGGTCACCAACGCCATAAAACCTCTTGTCAGATGGAACAAAAGCTGCTCATTTTCCCCATTTTGGCTGCACGCTGGTCGTTGGTGCATGCACAAGCAAGAAATCCAACTGGACTCACAGCAGGAGCCGTTCCGGACCTTTGATCCCCATTTCCCTCCCTTCAAGAGAGAATTTGATGCTTTTTGAACAGGAATCAAAATTCCCTGGCTTTGCTCCTCGGTTAGACGATGCTGAGCGCTGAGATTTAACCCCCTCAGTGTGGAAATACAGTGAAGAGATCAGCCAGCAGAAAGGTCTAAAAGTCTTCAAACAAATAATAAATGGAAGAAAAAAAACCAAGGCAGCTTCACCAGCAGTGCTGTGCTATTCGGTGAGTTTCTGGGATGCTTTTCAGTTGGCTGAGCAGTCACTGTGACCTTCAAAGCGCACCTTTACATGGGAGAAGGTTTTCAGTGCTGCTGGTGCAGAAAGATGCAGAAAATAGGTCAGCAGAAGCTCCCATTGCTGAGCTTACATCAGCTCCACGCTGTTGCTGAGGCAGATCTTGCAAATTCCAGGAAAAAAAGACAAAAAAAAAAAAAAGAAAAGGTAAAATAAATAACAATAACAAAACAAAACAAACACTGTTGCTTTTTTATCCAGGCTAACCCAGCGTTTGTGCTGCTTGGGCTGCCCTTGGATGACGGCAGCAGGAAGGAGGAAAGCAGCCAGCTGTTGGGCTGCTCTGGCAATTGTTTTGCTGGAATTTCCAGGCAATGCAGTGAGTTTTGGTAAAGCCACAGGAAGTTCATCAAGTGGCCACAGGATCCGTGTGTCCGGAGCTCTGCATTCGGGAAACCGACGCTGGATGCTGGATGCACACAGATTGTCCAAATACGGTTCAATTGCAGCTCCGTGATGAGATAATGCTTGAGGAATTTTCTCCCTTTGGCTCTGTGGAGTTTTTTTCCCCATTTACCTGGCACGTGGCTCTGTCCCAGATGCAATGTCACGATCTGCTGAGCTCAAGATGCGGTGGGAAAGGATGTGCTGCGTCTCCTGGCAGCATCCCTCGCGGTGCTCACCCTGGAACCATGCCTCATCCTTTGTTCAGGTGCTAATTTCCTGATTTACTGGGTTTTCCCCAATTAATGGGCTTTTTGGAAGCTCCACCAGCCGAAACCCAGCGTTGAAACACATGGAAAATGGAACTAGATGATCGCTGAGGTCCTCTCCAACCAAAGCCATTCAGGGAGTTCAGCCTTGATGATCATTGAGCTCCCTTCCAACCCAAGCCATACTATGATTGTATGGACTGTAAATTACATCTGGATGACAAGAGCAGAGGGATGCAGACAACAGATGCTCCAAAGATATCCTTACTAGCAAAACAATCTGGCTTTGATTGAGACAACCTCACCATGCTAAACAAAAGCAAATCACTTTCTGCAAAGCAAAAAAGCAACCAGCTTTCTCCATTCTTTAACACTGACAAGCAGATGGATTCTATAACCCCCTGAGATCCTTTCACCCCTGCTTCCTAAGCCCCTTTAATGGAAAAAAAAGGAAAAAAAAGCCTTTATGTTACTGCCTGCTGCTCTCTTCAAGCCCAGAACCTGGGTTTTGGCCCTCAAAAAAATGCTGTCAGTGGATCCATTCTCTTAATTTTCACAAAAATATAAGAAAGTAATAAATAAGTAATATAAGTATTATAATAAGTAATGTAAGAAATGTCACAAGAACAAGCAGCTTGATGCAAAAAGCTGGACACCAAACCCAAATCACCAACAAACCCTAAGGAACAGCAACCCCAAAAGCCTCAATATTTCTGTGAGGCCTGGATGTTAAGATGCTGACAGCACCAAAAACTCTTTGGGAAAACCCAAATAACCCAAACCTCAGACTCCTGGGAATATATACTGTCACCATGTCACCATCATATGGTATTTTTCCTGTTATCTACAGAAAAAAAAGGAGTTGTGAAGTTGGCCTGCCCTTCCTCTGGTTTAACAAAATTACTGGGTTTTAGGGAAATTTTTCAGCATTCGTTCTGCTCTGCTAATGGATTCTGCAAAGCATTTGGGGTCACTGAAAATCCCCTGTCCTCCTGTTCTGCATGCTTCTCTGAGAAGAGTGTTCAGGCACTGGAATGGGCAGCCCAAGGAGGTGGTGGAATCTGGAGGTGTTCAAGAAATGTTAGATGTTGCACTGAGGGACACGGTTTAGTGGGGGATGTTGAGGATAGGTGGATGGTTGGACTGGTTGATCTCGGGGGTCTTTTCCAACCTTGGTGATTCTACGATTCCATGACTGCAGTGAGATGGAGAACACCAAGAGTCCATGGGTGTTGATAGCCAGGAGGTGACAGAGAAGCACTTTGAGCATCTTCTGCCCAAACTTATCATTTCACCCAAAGAAATTGCTTTATACATGGTTTCCTCCTCAATTTAACCCTCAATTAGTACAGACAAATGTTAAGGTCCCGCTGTTGACACAGAAAGGCTTGAGAGAACGCTGCTTAGCATCTGGGTTGCTTTTAGAATCATCAGGGTTGAAAAAGAGCTCTAAGATCCCCAAGTTCAACCTCAACCCATCCCACCATGCCTACTGACCATGTCCCCAAGTGCCACATCTCCACGATTCTTCACCACCTCCATGGATGGTGATCCCACCACTCCCTGGGCAGCTGTGCCAGTGCTTGACCATTCTTCCTACAAAGAAACTTTTCCCAACATCCATCCTGACCCTCCCCAGGCACAACTTCAGGCCATTATCTCTTGTTTTGCAGTAGGTTGAACAAAGCCTGCTGACTATTTTCCACCCCCCCCCCTCCACCCAAGGCTGCCAAGACAAGGACAGCAGTGAGGCTCCCTGCCATGCAACACAGCCGTCAGAGCTCCACGCATTCCTGGACTCTGAATCAACTCCTAGAAGGCATAATATACCACTGATGCTAACGAGCTGCTTCAGTGACGAGCACAGGGCTGCATCGAGTATCTCCTTAAAGGTCAGGGGACCACATGATGCCCAGGAGCCCTTGCTTATGCTTTTACTACGAGTTAAAGATAATTTGAGTTGATTTAAGTATTAAATTGCAGTCTTGCATGGCCAGCACATCCTTTAGAACCAAACGGTGAGGTCCCAGATCTTCACACTCTTAACGTTACTGTAGCTCTCTCAGCCCACTCTCCGCCTTCCCCAACTTAGCAAAATGTAAAGTTGCATTTGCAAAATGCTCATTTTTTGGCAAAGAAAAAAAGCCCCAGGATGAGATGATGAGGATGGGGTTACGCAGCCGTGCCGTTCTGCATTCTGCAGGGGAAGGAAAGGAGCTCTTTCTCCACGCTGCGGGGCCGCTGCATGAAGTCACATCTGAATTCACGGGATGAAGGCTGCTGAAATGTCACCGCGGCGGCTCCTGGCACAGTTCAGTGAGAGCACCATGGCCTCGTTAGGGCAGTGGAAGCGATGACTTTGCCTTTGTAGGGATTTAAAAGCTCTGGGCGGCAGCCAGGCATTCCCAGATCACAGCTGCTGTGGGTTGAGGAAAGAGCTACGCGAGGAAACCCTGCAAACGTAGGCAGTGCAGCAGCGTTGGAGCAAAACCCGCATTGTGCATCATGAAAGCTGCTGTAGATCGCATGGTGACGAAGGCATGGGTTGTAATAAGTGCACGATGCAGAGTTTCTCCATCCCATCATGACGTAGCCACGTTCTCCATGGGTCCTGAACTCTCTGTGATAACCAACAGAGGATCAGCAACGCCACTCCCAAGAAGTTTTGCTGATTTCCTTCAAGGAAACCCTCCAACTCAGCCCAACGCCTACCTGCACAAAGGCTGCAAACCATCCACGGCTGAATGACTTCACGCAGTGCGATGCCAGCACGCTAAAAAAACCCTGATACTGCACAAAAATCCATGGGCGAGGATTAAAGATATACTTTTCAATGCTTTGGTTTGTGAAAAATCGCATAATTTGGTTCAGCTTTTTAAAGTGCAAAGCCCCTCATCTCTCTTAGTAGCGGTACGGCAATGACCCGATGCTGCACAGAAAGGAAGGGGAAAAAAAAAAAATAAAGAAAAAATGG